TGTTGTAGAAGAAAGAGAATTGCTGGAACTGAGTGCAACTGGGTAAGGGGGTGTGTCCAGTGCTGTCCTGGGGGTTGGCCTCTTTTAGCCCCAGTGTCCTTTTCAGCATCCTCCTGGGATTCAGTGACCCTGCTGTCCAGTTGTCTCCTTTCTATGTTTAGGGTCAGACAGGTTTGTTCACTGCTCCTGGCCCTTCACGGTTTACTCTGAGGTAGCAATATAAACTTACTTGTTTTCTGTTACTGACATCTTCTCCATAGCCACAAGCTCTACTGATGTTTCCATCTTTTCTCTCCATCTCTCCTAAAGCCCTGATCCCTTTAACTTTGCTAGTCACATGTAACTTAGTTTAATTCAGGGATCAGCAAACTTTTTCTGTAAAGAACCATATAGTAGTCTGGGTGTGGTGGCTCACACCTGTAATCCCAGCACTTTGGGAAGCTGAGATGGGCAGATCATTTGAGGCCAGAAGGTCAAGACCAGCCTGGCCAACATGGCGAAACCCTGTCTCTACTAAAAATACAAAAATTAGCCAGGCGTGTTGGCACATGCCTGTAGTCCCAGCTACTTGGGAGGCTGAGGCATGAGAATCACTTGAACCCAGAAGGCGGAGGTGCAATGAGCCAAGATCGCAGTACTGCAGCCTGGGTGACAGAGTGAGACTCCATCTCAAAAAAAAAAAATAAATATATGGTAAATATTTTAGGCTTTGTGGACCACATACAGTCTCTGTCACATCTTCTTCTTCTTCTTCTTTTTAACAACCTTTAAAATGTAAAAACCGGCCGGGCGCTGTGGGTCAAGCCTGTAATCCTAGCACTTTGGGAGGCCGAGGCAGGTGGATCATGAGGTCAAGAGATCAACACCATCCTGGTCAGCATGGTGAAACCCCGTCTCTACTAAAAATACAAAAAATTAGCTGGTCATGGTGGTGCGTGCCCGTAGTCCCAGCTGCTCGGGAGGCTGAGGCAGGAGAATTGCCTGAACCCAGGAGGAAGAGGTTGCGGTGAGCCGAGATCGCACCATTGCACTCCAGCCTGGGTAACAAAAGCGAAACTCCGTCTCAAAAAAAAAAAAGTAAAAACCATTCTTAACTCAGACTCTATGTTTAAATTAAATCCCCCTCTCTTATCTATTAGGTACCTGAACTAAGACTTCTCATTACCAGCTGATGTCCACTAAACAATTGCAAACAAAGTTACCTTTAAAAAACAACTTTACAATTTACTGATTTAAAGTGTGCATTTCACTGGTTTTTAGTATGCTTGCAGAATTATGCAACCATCTCCATAATATCTGATCTAATTTTAGAATATTTTCATCACCCCAAAGCTAATGCTTTTACAGCTTTGAGGTATAATTTATATGCAATAAAATTCACCATCTTTGAATAAATCATTTGATTTTTTTTTTTTTTTTTTTTTTGAGACAGAGTCTCGCTCTGTCACCCAGGCTGGAGTGAGTGCATGGCGCAATCTTGGCTCACTGCAACCTCCGCCTCCCAAGTTCAAGTGATTCTCCTGCCTCAGCCTCCCGAGTAGCTGGACTACAGGCGCGTGCCACCATGCCTGGCTAATTTTTCGTATTTTTAGTAGAGACAGGGTTTCACCGTGTTAGCCAGGATGGTCTCCCTCTCTTGCCCTCATGATCCGCCCACCTCGGCCTCCCAAAGTGCTGTGATTACAGGCGTGAGCCACCACACCTGGCCAGTTTGAATTTTAATAAAGCTAATTTTGACATTGGGCAAAGGAAAATACTCCTAGCATACTTCTTTTATCACATGCAATAAATCTCACTTGTAAATATTTTCTCCCAAGTGATCTCCACTTTTCCCTTAAAACAAGTGCTTCTATAGCCCTTGGACCAGCAGCATCCACATCACCTGGGAACCTGCTAGAGTGAGGCCTACCCCAGAGATAGGGCCCAGCAATCTGTATTTTAACCAGCCCTCCAGGCAATTCTAATGTACACTGAAGTTTGCGAACTACTCCAATATATATTCCTGCATGGAATTGCTGGGCTGGGGGATATGGGCATGTACAACTTTATTGGGTATTTCCAAACTACAGGTGACACTTGAGCAACACAGATTTGAACTGTGTGTTGGCCAGTTGCAATGGCTCATGCAGGTAATCCCAGCACCTTGGGAGGCCAAGGTGGGTGGATCACGAGGCCAAGAGATCGAGACCATCCTGACTAACATGGTGAAACCCCGTCTCTACTAAAAATATAAAAAATTAGCTGGGCCTGGTGGTGTGCACCTGTAGTCCCAGATGCTTGGGAGGCTGAGGCAGGAGAATCACTTGAACCCGGGAGGCAGAGGTTGCAGTGAACCGAGATAGTACCACTGCACTCCAGCCTGGCGACAGAACGAGACTCCATCTTGAAAAAAAAAAATTTGAGTGAGATTGAACTGTGTTGGTCCACTTATACGTGGAGTTTTTTCCAGTGAAACATGTATAGAAAATACAGCATTTGAGATATGCGAAAGCTGCCTATACAGAGAGCCTTGGATATGCATGGATTTTGGCATATGTGGGGGTTCTGAAACCAATCCCCTGAGTATACCAAGGGACAACGGTATTTTCAAACTGGTTATACCATACCATGTGTAGTTCACCTAGCAATAACTGAGAGTTCCTATTGTCACACCTCTTTGCCAACACTTTGAAATACCCAACTTAAAAAACATTGGCCTATCTGATGGGTGATCATAGCCCTTTGACATATCAAATGACTATGATCTTAATTTGTATTTTCTCAATTGCTAATTGAGTTGAACATCTCATACGTTCATAGGTCATTTGAGTTTTGTGTTCTGTGATAATGGAGTCTTTTGCCTATTGAAATAAATACAATTATGTAAATTATAATGTGTTGAAATAATCGCAAAATAAACCCAGAATTCCCAAGGAGAAAGAAACCCCGAGGGGTGGGGGGAAGAAAGTCCAGGAAAGAGTCCCAGGGGATGTGATTGTTACACAGTCGGGAAAGAACAGGGGTTTGTCAAGCCAACTGAGGGAAGGCCATCCATGTGCTGGACCAGCACGGCCTGATCAGGGAAAGCGAGTAGTGTGGTGTGGGGGACTAGTAGGGTGTGTGGAGGAAAAGACATACGTAAGGCTGGGAGAAAGGTAGGAAGCAACTAGATGTGTGTATCTCACATTTGTTTAATCTTTTTTGTTGAGCATTTGGGTTATTTTGTTCGGCTTTTTTTCTTTCCTATTATAAATAAAACTGATATGAACATCTTAGTATACACAGCTGATTTATTTTCTTTTGAATTATTTTTTAAAACACCTTTAAACGGAAATGACTAAAGGAAAGGAGGCATGATTAGTTTCATAGTTTCTTACATGTTTCAAGATTACTGTCCATTAGTCATTAGGGAAATGCAAATCAAATCCACAGTGAGATACCACTTCATACCCACTAGAATGGCCATAGTCAAAAATATAATTGCAAGTGTTGGTGAGGATGTAGAAAAATTGGAACTCTCATACACTGCTGGTGGGAATGTAAAATGGTACAGCTACTTTGGAAAGTTTGGCATATCCTCAAAAAGTTAACCATAGAGTTACCAAGTGACCCGGTAATTCCACTCCTAGGTATCTACCCAAGGAAATGAAAACATGTCCACACAAAAACTTGTACACAAATGTTCACAAGAGCATTATTTATAATAGCTGAAAGGTAGAAACAACCCAAACGTGCTTGGAGAGATGAATGGATGAACAAAATGTGATGTACCCATACAATGAATATGAATTATTTGTTTTAGCAAAAAACCAGAAGCAAACTAAATGTTCAATTACAGTTTTTGTATATTTGTCTGGTGGAAAGTTAGGCAGGAGTTGAGTATTAGAAATTGTAACTCTGACCGAGTATGGTAGCTCATGCCTGTAATCCCAGCACTTTGGGAGGCCAAGGTGGGAGGGGTGCTTGAGCTCAGGAGATCCAGACCAACATGGGCAACATGGCAAAACCCTGTGTCTACCAAAAATACAAAACTTAGTCATGCGTGCTTTTGTATGCTGTGGTCCAGCTACTTGGGGGCCACAGCATACACAAGCACACCTAAGTTTTGTATTGCTGGAGCCTGGAAAGTCGAGGCTGCAGTGAACTGTGATCGCACCACTGCACTCCAGCCTGGGGCAAAGAGCAAAACCCTGTCTCAAAAAAAAAAAAAACAAAAAAACAATTAAATTTTAAAAAAGAAATGGTAATTCTTAGGATACACATATCTAAAAAGCAGAGTATACCATCACGTATTCTTAAACATTTTAACTGTGATTATATGAAGTGTTTCGGTACATGTCGAAAGACAAGAAAGTAGTGGTGCTTGTATTCAGGTAGAGGAATTCTGGGTAATTTTTCCTCTTTTTGGAATACAGCAGTTGCTATGTGCCAGACACCAATAAGCTCTTTTTATGATTTAATTTAGATGTCATTAAACTACAGTGAATTTGGATTGCCGGGCCTATTTTCATAGGACCCTTAATCTAAATCGTGTTTGTATTTTTAGTTTTAATTACTTTTGATAATACAGTGCCTTTAACTAGTATATTCAAGATATCATTTCAACATGTGATTAATATTAGAAATACATTAATGAAATATTTTATGGTTTTTATATGAAATCTTTGAAATCTGATGTGGATTTTATACTTATGACAGATCTCAATGTTGTCGCATTTTAACATTTTTAAATAGTTGCTTTAAAAAAAAGAAGAAACAGGTGTGACAGAGACTTTTTATGGCCTGCAAAGCCTAAAATAGTTACTGTTTGGCACTTTGCAGGCAGAGTTTACTGATCCCTGATTTAATTCCTTTTATCCTGACAATATTCCAATAATAAGGGGTGCTATTATTATTATTTCCATGTTATAGATGAGGAAACTGAGGCACAAAGGGTTTAAATAAATTGTCAGCATTTGCTGTGATTTAGAGCAAATAGCAGGCTCTTTCTACAAACTTGCTAATCCTGTATTTCTTTGCAGTGTAAAAAGTGGATAGTGGCTCACGTGTCAAAGGATGGTGCGGTCACGATCTAGATCCCCCAGGTGGAAACACAGGTGAGCAGTTCTTAGAGTAAGCTTGCATTTGGGATGTGCTGTGACTTTCAATTTCACCAGTACTAGTAAACTCTTAATAAGCTTATGGGACCTGATTATTCACATTAGGTACTTTATCATGGTAGAGGTTGTATTTCTAGATTCTAGTAGTTGGCAGCTTTGTTTAATCATAGCAGGTAGCTAGAGTTAATCCATAATGAAAAGCAATGCAGTGGGCACAGCAAGAGAGAGTGAGAAACATCTTTGAGAGTGTTACATTTTTTTAATTAGTGAGTAGTTTAGAACTCCTCAGTAGGTATTTCATTTTATTTTTTCACAATTAATATGTTTGAAGAAATTTCAAGTTAGAAAATAGGGAGTTTCCTCTTTCTTCTTCATGGCAGACTAATAAAGTTTGAATAGTTCGATTATATATATTTCTCCTCTTTCTTGCTTGGTAGTATCAAAAGTATGTATCATTAGGTTGGAACAATTTAACCAATCTTTATTGTACAACTGCTACAGGCAGGTTCTTGGTCTATAAAGGCAAATACGCCATCTTCTGTGGCCTCAGCAAGCATGTTGTTGGGCTGGGAGATTGATACCATGGCCAGCTATGATACAGTGGGGAAAGCGCTGTGTTACTTATTGGGACAAAAGATTCTGGATTTCTAGAGAGGAAATAATTCTGTTTTTGTGGAGGGAAAAGGGGGTACTAAGAAAGTCTTCAAAGAAGAGATGAAAACAATTTTAACTGGGCATTTCAGGATGGGTAGAGCTTCTAAAGGCAGAAAGAGTGAAGAGAAGTATTCTAGTTAAAGGGGAGAGCAAGAGCAAAGGCGCCAAGCTGTCAATGTGACTAGCATGTTCTAGGACTTAAAAAAGACCACCATTTCACACAAAAAAGGCAGACAAATATTTTTCATGTTAGATAACTTGCCCATTGTGCTTACGTGTTTTGGTTATGCAGGGACTAGTCGATCATTTTGTCAACAGTTTTCATTTTGTAATTCATTCAGGAGCAACTTGGAATAGTAAGGAACTTGAGAAGGAAAAGGGAATGTAAAGAAGTGAATGATTTTAACAGGTTGTCAAGAGGCCATTTCTTAATAACACAGAAGACCCTGGTGAGGAGCACAAGAGACCCTGCCAAGCTCTGTGCCTGGTTTCCAGGTTCCTTCTCAAGTTTCTTTGTTAAGAACTTTAAAGGATCTGATGTTTTACCCTAATTGCAAGCTAACACATTATTAGTCTGCCACAGGACACTCTTGGGTCAGAGACAATGGCCTTTATTACTCAGAGTACAGCAAACAGCTTGAGCTTCATGTTCCTGTCATTCTCCTCACCCTCTGGGTCCCCTGAGGGCTGGCACTGCAGAGCCACTGGCTGGGTGGACACTGAGGAAGCGAGGTTTCCATACAGGCAGTGGAGTTACAGGACAACTGAGGAGCATGAGTCCCTTATCAGGGGCTGCAGATAAACCGATGCAGCCTTTGCTTTGGAGGAAACATTTATCTTACTATCCTGGACAGCAAACACATCAGCCCTTTGTCCCCAAGGGAGACCTTATCTCTACCTTCCAACCTTGTTTTGCCTTAGAACAAAGGCCGTCAATGCCTCTGCTCACAAGGCATGCAGAACTCAAGAGACTGTGGAGAATTATCTCCCAACAGACTCCTTGAGTCTTTTTTGTTCCTTTAGGAGAACCAAAAACAATAGCAACTATTCTAGCAACCATCTTCAGAAGGGAGGGACTCTATACAATAAAACATTAATGATGCAAAATATGGTATCAAACCAATATTGAATGTGAAGTAAGAATTAAAAGTCAGATATTGGGAATTTTGTCCAGATGGAAGACCTCTGCCTCTGGCTGCCAGCTTTTCTCCTTAGCTGTGAAAGAGATGAAATCTTCCAGAAAGTCCTCAGAGGCTCCAGTTGCTTCCTCCTGTGATGAGCTGTAGCTAGCTGGTTGGCAGAGTTTCTGCTTCAGCTAAATAAACACTTGCTAGTGTGTCTAGCTTGGTGACTCCATAGGGCAGTATTGCCAAGTTCAGTATCTAAGTCCAGTAGGTACATGAGGAAGGTAGATCTGCCTCCTTTCTTGTAGGGAGGTCACAAATTTTCCATCGAAAAGAAAGGCACTCACTCATGGTTGTACCAACTCCATGGCAGCTTCTGAGAGAGCCAAAATAGAAGCTGCAAGGATTGCTTCCTCATTGATTAGAAGACATCAAACCCTCAGGGAGGAGATGGAGAAATTGGGCAGGTCAGATGCGGGGAAAGGTCCCCAGGTGCAAAATGGAACTTTATTGTGTCCCAGATACTGGCACACCTCTCTTTAAGCCTAGGCAACCCAGACTGTTTTCCCTGGATACAAAAGCGTTTCTTCTTATTGGAAACACAAGCCTCAATGTTGGCAATGCTGAGAGGTATGGAGAAGGTAGTTCCAGAAAGGATGCGCTGTCCCTGGAGAGCATTATAGCTGCTTTAAAGTATAACTTCACCAAAGTTACAAGCTCTGTTCGAACAGCACGTCTTTCCATTGATATGCAAGAGAACAGATCTGGGAAAGAAAAGCAACTTACCTACGTTAGAGGTATTTATGGAGGAACTGAGCATCAGATTCAAGTCTTAAGACCCTCTCGTTCCCCTTTCTCCCCCGGTTAAGTACATATGTTTTCCTCCTTCATACAGCTTTAGTAGAGAAAGTAGACAATCAATTGGAGAAACTCTGGGCCTGGCTTGGATCTGAGTTTGAGTTGTAGCATCATTAAATCTTCGACTCCAATTTATTTTCAGAGGTAATGTTCGGTTTGCTGGAGACCCTCCTATACATTGATTGTGTGAATCTTGCCTTCCTGCTTGTTTCTTACCTGGCCTTTGAACCAGATGTAAGCTTTTGCTGACTGGCCCTTTGAAGTCACTGCATCTTCTTTTGCCAGAACTTTGCTGTCAGCAGTCTTCCAAAATTGATTCTGCTGTGTACCTAAGCTGGCCCTCCTCCAATGGGACAGGTGTGCTCAGCTCATTTGGATAAGCACATGAAATACCTTAGTTCAGATGGAAAGAGTATGCTTGCTGATTGGCAAGTACCATAATCAGACCCCCAGATGTACAATTTAGAATGAAGATGTAGCAAACTGATGAATTTAGTTTGAGTGGAAGAAGCTGAGGGATTCTAGGAAAAGCAAATGTTTTCTGTAGGTCATATTGAGACATGATTATCTTTAAGTGGATTACACTTTTCTGTGTTTGTTTACATAGGTCTTTATCACCAGTACCTAGAAATGCTGAACACTACAAGCAAAGATATTCTCACGGGCATTATGGCTGTGAATATAGGAAGGATCCAAAAAGACCCATCGCTTGGAGAATGGACAGTGAGAAACATGGACAGAGTAAACCAAGGATTCCCTCTCGTGGAAATATATATTACCAGTCTTATGAACATAGATCACCTTCCCCTAACATAAGAAACTCTTTAGAAAATGTTTATATGTATAAGCCTCACCGAGGATATTCACCTGGAAGAGGAGACAGTAACAGGAGATCTCAGTATATGCCCAAATACTCAGAGGGTATACCCTACAAAGAGCATGAGAGGAATTCTTATCCCCAGAAAGTGCAAGGAGGGTATAGTCCTGATGACCACAGAATTAGAGGAAGTGGAAAAGGAGGGAAACCACCTCAGAGGTCAATAGCAGATTCTTTTAGATTTGAAGGAAAGTGGCATGAAGATGAGTTGAGGCACCAGAGGATACAAGAAGAAAAGTACTCCCAGTCAACTAGAAGAGGCTCTGAAGACTTTGAGACGAGGAGCTCGTTTCAGAAGAGGTACAGGAAAATGTTAAACCTGGGTAATTTGGTATAAAGCCTGAAGTGAAAAAGTCTGTTTACTTTATGGTTGAAGATAACCACCTTGAAAAGCTGTTGTCTAAAAAGACAAAAAGCATTGTAATTTAGTTACGGTGTACTGGTGAAGTATTTTTAGAGTAAATCATGTTGATGGCTAGAATACTTTTAAAAGATGGTATTTTTCTCTTTAACTGCCTTGTACCTCTAAAATTGGCTTAAGGTAGTATAGATTAACTTGCCACTGCGTTCTGCATTTAAAGCCATGCTACCCAACATTCTACACATATAAATTCTCCCTTTCTTCTCTGTATTGCAAGTGTAAACTGCTTTATGTCAACACAGGTATCCTGAGGATCGTGATTTCAGAAAATATGGACACACATCAAAAAGACCTAAAGACGTGGAGAGGTATGAAAGCAGAGAGCCTGCCAGGACCCCAAAGTGGAAGCCCGAGCATTCCCTCCCACCTTACCAAGAGGAGACAGACCAGTGGAACCTTGCACCCCAAATTTACCGACATGCTGAGAGGGAACACCCAGAGACCAGTTCAGCAACCAAAGTATCCTATGACTATCGTCACAAACGTCCTAAGCTCTCAGATGGGGACCAGGACTTTTCTGATGGGAGAACTCAGAAGTACTGTAAGGAAGAAGATAGAAAATACAGTTTTCAAAAAGGCCCTATAAATAGAGAGTTAGATTGTTTTAATACGGGAAGAGGGAGAGAGACTCAAGACGGACAAGGCAAAGAACCTTTTAAACCATGTAAGAAAGACAGCATTGCCTGTACTTATTCAAGTAAAAATGATGTTGATTTGAGGTCTAATAATGACAAACGGAAGGAAAAAATAAAGAAAGAAGGGGATTGCAGAAAAGAGAGTAATTGTTCCAGTAACCAACTTGATAAAAGTCAAAAACTTTCTGATGTGAAACCCTCGCCTATCAATCCTAGGAAGAAATCACTTACAGTTAAAGTAGGTGTGAAGAAAACAGTAGATACATCCAGGTATTATCTTTATTTTTTCTTTATAATATTTAAGAATGTTTCTACAGTCTTTATTTGCAGCTTCAAAAATGGAATTAGTAGTGTATTTAGAATCCATCAAATGTGAGGGATTGCCTAGAATTTTCCCCAAAAAAGCCCTGTAGTTAGGCTGTTTCCTGTGATTAGTTACATGGGAGCGATTTCATGTCTCCTTCTTTCCACATCTTATTTCCAGATGCTTCTTTGATGCGGGGCATTCTATGGAGTTGTTCTTCATGAATTCACGTGTTTTTATGCTGCCAGGTTTTCCTTATCCAAGGATTGGCTGGGTAGAGTTCAAGAAAACCTAGTTCCTGCTCAGTTTCTCAGAGCTTGTGTTCCCTGTTGCCTGAAATTCAGAGAATTTTTGAGCTGAAAGGGACCTAATTTTATACAGGAGGAAAGCAAGGCCCTGAGAGATGAAGTGACTTGTCTGAGTCAGAGTGGCTTAGGCTCAAATCCACGTGTTCCCTTATGACTCAAGGAGGCAGGTGACTTAATGTGGTTTTTGCTGCCATCTCGAAATGACTGGGGCTCAACCAACCAGATTCTTTCAGGTAGAGGAAATAAGACCATAATCTGGGAAGATGCCTATTTTTAAGACATTTACTTTAGCCCTTAATGATTCTTTAAAAAATAAACTATTGTTGTTGTAGCTTATATTCTCTAAAAGCAGGCTCACGTGCCTTGTTCTGTGATGAAGATTACTTCCATTTATGGATTCTGAGAATAACAAGACACTGCAATTGGCCTAAAACTAAAAAAACTGTTATGACATTAATACATTACCAGTGTGTGAATCAAAAAGGGTTTGGCCATGTTGATTTGGTGCATTTATATTCACGCATGACTCATTAGTATTTGAACCAAAAATGAGAGAAAACAAAATCCAAATGGTAAAATGGAGAGGGAGGTAAACCCACAAGTCCTTTTTTTGTAAAACAACATATTTTTTCTTCCTTTTTCTTTTATTTTCTTTTGAGATAGGGTCTTGCTCTGTTGCTCAGGCTGGAGTGCAGTGGCATGATTACAGTTCACTGTAACTCAAACTCCTGGGCTCAGGTGATCCTCCTGCCTTTCCTGTATTAGCTTCCTGAGTAGCTAGGACTATAGGCACATGCCACCATGCCCAGCTAATTTTTTCTTTTTTTGTAAAGATGGAATCTTGCGAAGTTGCCCAGGCTGGTCTCAAACTTCTGGCCTCAAACAATCCTCTCGCCTCGGCCTCCCACTGGCATTACCAGCCTGAGCCACTGTGCCTGGCCCCTGTTCCTTTTCTTAAATTTAGACATGGCAATACCCCAAATCCTATTTCTTTTACATTCATTGCACTTGCAGAACATATTTTTAAATATATGTATGTGTATAATGTGTATATGTGCTCAGAAAGCATTTATAAGTGTGATTATATTACAGAAAGTTCAAGAAATAAAGGGGGAATCACCCATGATTTCTACTAGTATACAACAATCTTATTTGCATTTTAGTCTAGTTATTTTTCTGTGTATATTTATATATGACTGCTGTGGTATCATGTTAATAATTTTGTATTTTTTTCATATGTCTTAAATAATTTTGTGCTATTATGTTTCCTGCTAGTTCTTCACCTTAAAAGCACAAAAGCTTCTGTGAGTACCAAGTTTAAGAATGTTACCTTAAGGGCTGGGCACAATAGCTCATGCCTGTAATCCCAGCACTGTGGGAGGCTGAGGTGGGAGGATCACTTGAGCTCAGGAATTCGAGGGTGCAGTGAGCCATCACTGAGACACTGTACCCTAGCCTGGGCAACAGAGTGAGACTCTGTCTCAAAAAAAAAAAGTCAGGGGGAGCTTGGATTCTATCCTGATGGCTATGAGATATACATATATAACGAATAACATACACACTTTTCTTTCTTTCTTTTTTTCTTTTCGAGACAGGGTCACGCTCTGTCACCCAGGCTAAAGTGCAATGGCGTGATCATGGCTTATTGCAGCCTTGAACTCCTGGGCTTAAGTGATCCTCTTGCATCAGCCTCCTGAGTAGTTGGGACTATAGGACTATAGGACTGTAGACTATAGGACACCACACCAGCTAATAAAAATTATTTTGTAGAGCTAGAAATCTTGCTGTATTGCCCAGGCTGGTCTCAAACTCATGGCCTCATGCAATCCTCCCTCCTTGGACTCCCAAAGCACTGGGATTACAGGCATGAGCCACCGCACCCAGCCTTAAGTTTTTTTCTATCCAACATTATATTTTGAAAATGTTCAACCATACAGAAAAGCTGAAAGAATTCTACAGTGAACACCTGCATACTCACCACCTGAAGTCTACAATTAAGTTTGCTTTCATAATTCCATATCTATCTATTCATCTATCATTCCACCTTATTTTTTAGATATATTTCAAAGTAAGTTGCAAATGTCAGTACACACCCCTTTAGATACCTTAGTATTTAATTTTTGTTTACAGTTTCTTTTTCTTTTGAAGTAAAATTATATACAATCAAATGCATAAAAAATTTTAGCTTTTTTTTTTGAGACAGAGTTTTGCTCTTGTAGTCCAGGCTGGAGTGCAGTGGCACCATCTCAGCTCACCGCAACCTCTGCTTCCCAGGTTCAAGCAATTCTCTTGCCTCAGCCTCCTGAGTAGCTGGGACTACAGGCATGTGCCACCACACCCGACTAATTTTGTATTTTTAGTGGAGACGGGGTTTCTCCATGTTGATCAGGCTGGTCTGAAACTCCCAACCTCAGGTGATCCACCCTCCTTGGCCTCCCAAAGTGCTGGGATTACAGGCATGAGCTACCATGCCCAGCCAAAATTTTTAACTTTTTAATAAAAGTAATGATGTGGCCAGTGCAATGGCTCATGCCTGTAATCCCAGCACTTTGAGAGGCCAGGGCAGGCTGATTACTTGAGCTCAGGAGTTTAAGACAGCTTGGGAAACATGGTGAAACCCCATCTCTACAAAAAATACAAAAATTAGATGGGCGTGGTGACACGTGCCTGCAGTCCCAGCTACTTGGGAGGCTGGGGTGGGAGGATTGTGTGAGCCCAGGAGGTCGAGACTGCAGTGAGCCATGTTTGTGCCACTGCACTCCAGCCTGGGTGACAAAGTGAGACCCTGTCTCAAAAATTAAAACTAAAAAAAAAAAGTAATGATACCCTCATATTTAATAATGAAGTGTTTATAGTTAAAAGAGAATTTAAAATTGTAACACTTTTAAACAATGCTAGAAATATCAATTTTGAAGAGTTTTATTTTAATAGACCTCATTAGAGATACTGAACAGTTAATTTTATAATTTGATATAAGAAATGGAAGCTTGATCTTTATCATGTGTCACAAAAGTGACCTTAAAATGGAGGCTGCTGCATCTTTTATTTTGAATTTATAAACTATGATTTTGTGAAATTGCATAATCTGTCCCTGGCATCTGGCAACATACCAGGGCCATTTGAATACCTGCCCAGGGCCTGCAGGATGGCTTGTATAATAGCCGCCACTGCAAATCCTCTCCGTTCAAAGACCTGAAAAATAAATAACTGAGCAAATACATGTATCTTTTCAGTGTGATAAAGCGTCACAGTCAACAACAAAATCTTCATTGGTGAATGGGTTATGGATGAATTTTGTGGTTTGGATTTAATTATATGTGGACTGATCCATAAAACAAAGATCATGCCTTCGGTAGAATTATGTTTAAATTAGATTGTTTTTCTAGACAAAATTAAAATAATCATAGAGTGCAGAGAGAAGTTTATTTATTGGTTAACGTCTAGAGAGTTTATCTGCTTTTTTTGGAAAGGCTAAGATGGCTAATTTTGTGCATTTGGTTACTCTCTTGGCTTTGGTTGAGAATTGATATTTGTTCTTCCAGTTATCAGTATGGTTGAAAACACAAGGTTATCACTCAGTGATTTTTTTTTTTTAGATTCTAGTTTGTATCTAAAACAGCAGTAGGTAAACACTTGCTTGAATGTTCGTTGCATAGTTAATACTTCTGCCAAGAAAGACTGAATTCTAATGACCCACTCTGTCAGAAACTTCATTACCAGAAATTACATGTGAGTCATAATTATATATTTCAGAATGTAAGTTAGGAATTCACAGTATGAAAATTTCTACCAAGGTTGTTACATATGCAGAACATGAACTGTTGTATATATGCATCTGTAAGTTTTGGGACAGACGAATGTGGGTGTTAATGTTGGGCTGAGTGGTTGAGGGATTGACCCTTGGCCAAGGCAGGAAGAAAGAGGAGGAGGGAGGAGTTGGTACTATTATCTGGAGCAGAATAAGCTGCTGCTGATGGATCAGATGCTTATTTGATCTCCTGGGAAGCTGATACGAGACACCTGGGATGTGAGGAAAGTTGTCCCTCAGCGTTCATGGCTATCAGAGTTGATGGTGGACTGAGTACATTGGCCACATTTGCATCTAATCCCACTGAAGACATACAGAGGGGTCTCTCTACCCCTATCAACTCTTTCCCCACTTTGAAAGGGGGTGAGGGTGATGGGCCCCAGAGAACATTGTAACTCTGACACTCTAAGGAAACGGGAGTCACACAGGCAGGGAACAATGTGAAAAGCCGTAACTGAGGTTGAAGGAAGAGAACCTCATCACGTAAGTTTACTTATGATGGACACTGTTCCACTGGAGGCAAAATAAGCTGCAGGTGGGGATATTTTTATACCCAAACCTGCCACCTTGCTGTAATATAGCATAAAAAACTAATATCCTCCCCTACTTTAATTTCTTACATGCATTTCAAGATCAAAAATTAATTGAAAGAAGGTTCCCTTTCATTCCTATTTTTGACTCTAGCTTCTCTTGGTGTTTCTTAGGGGGGCCTTGTACAGGGATTCTGTTGGCAGTTGGAGTGAATAGGTTTTTGTCCTTCTATGGACCACTGATCAGCTTTGTGACATTGGGAAGGTCACTTGGCTATACCCTTTTGGGCCCAAATTAACCTGCAGGTCTTCCTGGCTCTATGAATCTGCTTGGATTAGTCATATGTTGGTAACCATTGAAGCTGAGTTGACAGACACATGGAGGTTCATCATGTTCATCTCTGAACTTTAGTATATATTTGAGATTTTATATTAAAAATATGAAATTTAAATTGGTCTAAGTTCAGCAAAAAACAAAAAATAAGCCAAGGAAGTTAAAAAAAAAAAAACAAAATTAAATTGGCCTCAATTAAAGTCTGACTAGGTGTGATGGTTCACACCTGTAATCCTAGCACTTTGATAGGCCGAGGCAGGCAGATCCCTCAAGCTCAGGAGTTTTAGACTAGCCTGGGCAACATAGTGAAACTCCATTTCTACAAAAAATATGAACATTAGCCAGGTATAATGACACACACTTATAGACCCAACTAATCAGGAAGCCAAAGTGGGAGGTTGGCTTGAGGAGGCAGAGGTTGCAGTGAGCCAAGATGGTGCCACTGTACTGCAGCCTAGGTGACAGAGCCAGACCCTGTCTCAAAAATAAAATAAAAATTAAAGTTTATTTTCTCTCTCTCTCTCTGTAGCTCTCTCTCTCTCTCTCTCTCTCTCTCTCTCTCTAGCTCTATCTCGCTGTCTCTCTCTAGCTCACTCACTCTCGTGCTTGCGCGCTCTCTCACTCTCGCTCTCTCTCCCCGCCCCCCAAGAGTCTCTGTCACCCAGGCTGGAGTGCAGTGGTGTGATCACAGCTCACTGCAGCCTCTATCTCCTGGGCTCTAGCAATTCTCCTACCTCAGCCTCTCGAGTAGCTTGTACTACAGGCATGCACCATCATGTCTGGCTGATTTTTTTATTTTTATTTTTAGTCGAGATGAGGTCTTGCTATGTTACCCAGGCTGATCTCAAACTCCTGAGCTCAAGCAGTCCTCCTGCCTCAGCCTCTCAAGTAGCTGTGATTACAGGTGTGAGCCACCGCACCTGATCTTATCATCTCTTTAGCTGAAATACTCATTTCAAATTGACCAAGTCATTTTTGATTCATTATTTATGCATTCAGTGGGTATTTTTTGAGGACCTGCCCTGGGTGAGACAGTCTGTTAGGGTGCCCTGGGACTATAGAGCTGCATAGGATTAGGTTTCTTCTCCTATTAGGTTATGGTTATGGGAGTGCATGTGTGACTCAGCAGAAGATGGGTGGTACCAAGCTGGGAGATTGAAAAGAGGTATCATGTAGGAGTTGACATGTGAGATAGGCTCCAAAGGCTGGTATTTCAGACACATGAAGATGTGGCAAAAGGAATTTATATTTACAGGTTAACAATGGCAGAAAAACATACACAGGAACTTTGACCTGTGTGGTTCCGAGCAGCCAGTGAAAGGAAGAGAGGGAAAGGAGACTGAAAGGTAAGAATGCTGTGACTGCCAGCCTGATTTGACATTATCAGCTGATAGGAGAGGCCCAGCCAGAGTTCTGGCTGCCAGAGGATTGCTGTCTATGAGGTAGACTGAATGTGTGTTGGGGCTGGTAAGGCCCACTAGAGGACTTTTGTGCAAAAAGCAATGAGATGCAGAATTAGGGGAGGTGTTAATCTCCCTGAACCTTTTCCTTCAACTCCACAGTTTCTAAATTTGTTCTTAGAAAGACAGGAACAAATTATACACAGTCATGCATTTCTCAGTGATGGGGATATATTCTGAGAAATGTCTTGTTAGGCAGTTTTGCCGCTGTCTAAATATCACAGAGTGTATTTACACAAACCTAGATGATATAACCTACTACATACTTAGGCTATATGGTAGAGCCTGTTGCTCCTAGGCTACAAAACTGCACAGCATGTGACTGTACTGAATACTGTAGGCAATTGTAACATATCAGTAACTGTTTGGGTATCTAAACATAGCTAAACATAGAAAAGGTACACTAAAAATATAGTACCACCATCGTTTTAAGTGGTCATTAATGGAAATGTCATTATGCTGCGTGTGACAGTAATTGGGAAGGTGCTTTGTATGAACTGTAGGATGCTGTGTGAAATGTTACTTATTACTTGGAAGAAGACAGGAAGGAAAACTTTATATGTGTCACATGGATTTTTATAAGCTTCCGGAGGGCAGGAGAATCTGTTGTTTTTGGTTGCTGTTGGGTATTTTGTTGCTGTTTTGCCATGCAGTTCGTTTCTTTGATGAGTCCTAAGTGTGTACAATAGGAAATTAAGGTCTAATGTAGCTTTTTATGTTTTCTTGGTTATTACCCACAACACTCTGGGAGAACATCAGTGGAAATATCCTTAAACAGAAAAATAAATGGGGAAATTGTGGTTGAGGGAACAAAGGATCTTGGAAGAAATAGTATTAGAATAGAGGTTTTTGGCTGTATTTTAATTTTTGAAATTGTCTAAAATGCATCTCAAATGAGAACATTTGATCTTTTTAGCTTAGCTACTTGTTTTGGAGTATTTCCTGAAATTATTAACCTGTTAATCAATCCATGCCATAGGAAATAGTAAAAAGTAAAATGTGAGCCAAAAGATTGCATTTATAAATATAAATATTTAGAACATTTTGCATTCTCAAGTCTAAAGAGGGTTTTTCTTGTACCAAAAGTATCATAATTGTTTTTAAAAGACTAAAATTTGGAGCTAATACTATGTTAATGTATATTTTCTAGAAAATGATAATTTTAATTTTTTATTAAAAATCTTGTAGAGGAACTCTAGGATAAATTTTAATGGATAACAAGTTTAAACACTAAGATTTAAGGAATTAAATATATAATAGCTTCAAAGTATGTAACTGCTATGGATTGAGCATGGAGTTGGGGACAAGAGTTATAGCAGTAATTTATAAGAAATTATAAGTAAATGTTAATAATTACCCACTGAAAAACTGAACTTCTGGCTATTTCCTCTTGGGAGAAACTGAGGCTGCCAGAAAAAACCTTATCAACCGATTTCCTCTTGTGGATGGAACATCTGTATAGTTCTATTTAAATATACTATTTTCCTCCTGTAAAATGTTTTTAAAGGCTATTTTTTTTTTTGTGGTATGGCACGGGATTTTTGAAACATTAAACCCCCTTAAGCAGAGAGCATTTGTAATTCTTTGTTAGTGGAGGTTGTTACAGGGTGTTCTAACATTTACCAGCAAATGTCTCTTAGCTAGTTATCACATGCACAGTGGGAAGCTTAGAGCAAATTAGGAGGAAAGAAGGGAAATGGGCCTTCTTCCTAATGAAAGTCCTTCTAATGGATCCAGGAAACCACAGCAGTGCTGTCAGCCTGCTGCATGATCACTTTTCTGTGTTTCTGCCTTGGCAGGGAGTTGTCCCTGGCAATGCTGGTCTGAGAGCAGGGAGCACAGAAAGTCAGATGGAAGCCTTTCCTCTGATAAGTTATAAATAGACACTCGAAGCCATTTTATTAGAGGAGCTCAAATTTTTAGTTAAAAAATATCTGTCAGCCCCTCATAACCCTGCAGCAGTTTGGATATATGGCTGTTACATGACTTAATTAAGTACATATGTGCATGCATGTACCCACACCCCCAGACATATCTGTCTGTTTGCTTTTTGCTATATGATGAGCCATTTATTCCAGTGATGCTCTGTTATTTAAAACATACTTCAGGGCTCTCTGTTGGATTTCTCTTCTGAGCCTGTAATGTAGTCATTAGGAACCCCAGCAGTTGCAAATGTCAATTCTTTGGACAATGAACTTGATTTTTGAGAAGAGCCAAAAGCAATTTAGTGTTAAGTACAGAGGAACAAGATAGGTAGAAACTGATTAGTGCCATTCTTTGTCCAAATTGAGATATAAATATAAAATAACGAGAAAATTTCTCCATTGATGCATAAAGTGCCTCCAGACAAAGAATTTCAGAGTAGTTTTAAGCAAGTGCAGCATTCTTGGAATAAAGTATTGTTTTCCATTATGACACTTGAAGGAGGTGTTCGTTTGAACGTTCAATCTCTGGGATGTGAAACCAAGACCATTGTCTCAGTGTCGTGGCACCTTCCCCATAGGGCTGTTGTAAAGATGAAATGAGATAATGTTGGTAAGCTCTAAGCCTACATGTTTGGCATGTGGTAAGCCCTCAATAGTTATTAGCTCTATGTTATAATCATTAGTTTGTAAAAGTACTTAGAGGTCAAGAGAGCTCTTAACAAAAGTTATAAGATTCAGAAAGCATGAAAGTGGTAAGATAGACGGGGTTATATAATAAAGGGTAGTATTTCTTTAAGGGTGCCTTGAGGGTGAACACTGTAACTGGTGCTAATGATCATAACTTTGCCTAACCACTATGACTATTTTCTGAGAATTTAGTCAGACTTTATAATTAAGGTAATTTCTTTACAGAATTTTATTTCAAAATATGATTCTAAGCTTCTTATTACTGATACAAAGATATAAGGATTTTTATAAAGTTAGAGAGGTTCTTATGTTTGCTATCAGCTTTTAAAGTGTCGTAGTATTTCAAGATAAAATGATTTTGCAGGACTAAATGTTTTGTCCATTTGGACGTTGAAAATAATCTAATCATAGTGTCTTTAATACCTTGTATTCTTGAAGTAAAAATTGTTTCACTTAGAATTTGAAGGATTTTATTATTAAAGTGGCAAATATCTAATGACCTCTGATTTGAAAAAACTCAGAGCCATGTATCTGTAGTTATTTTCTCCTATTTGTTACTGTACCTGTTTTATGGCATAGAATTTAGTGCCTTAATTATAAGAAAAAAATAAACCTCTTTTTAGTTTTGTAGCTATCTTAATTTTTGATAAATTCTTTTCTCCACAAATAGTTTCAAATTTAGTTAAACATTTGCAAATTATTCTAGGGTTGCTTCTAGCTATTCCACAGAGAGACAGATGTCACATGATTTGGTTGCTGTTGGCAGGAAAAGTGAGAACTTTCATCCAGTGTTTGAACATCTTGACTCAACTCAGAATACTGAAAACAAACCTACAGGAGAATTTGCTCAGGAAATCATAACAATAATCCATCAAGTTAAAGGTTGGTATATTTTGCACATACATTAGGGATAACACAAAAGTAATATACTAACTTTTCACGAGATACAGGTAAACACCTGCAGTGTAGCTTAATAGTAATTAAGATTTCATTGTAAGTTCTACTGTGAATTAGGAAATCTTTTGGAGAAAATATCAGGCATTCATTTGAGCCTAGTTGTTCTTTATATGTAATTCCAATAACCTTGCGCTTCAAGTGTTAGTAGATTGGAAATGGCAAGTTAGAAAGGGAGAGGTCCCGCTGCAAAAGATAAGGCATACTGAGAGCAGTTAAGAGCAATAACTGGTAACCTAACAGGGAGGAAAAAGCAACAAAAAACTAGGAAACTCAAGATATCAGGAAGCCTAGGTCATGTTATGATTCCAAAAGCCCCCTGAGGGCGCTACTGGGACTTTGTCTCTTAAAGATGATGCTGAGTGATCAATGAAAGATTCTAGTTTGCTTTGGCATTCTTTATGACAGGGAGTTGCCTAATAAATACTTTTAATGATTTGCATTAAATTGTTTTGTTTTTGCTTCTGGCGAGTTTCCACTAATTGGAAAATTCAGTGATAGAGAACAACTTTCCCCAGTGATGCTGCACAAATAAGGCAATTGTGGGTATTATAAGCTGGAGGCCTTCAAGAATTTTAAAAATTTTATTTTGTACTTCCTGCTAGACAACTGCATTAATCTTTATTACCTTTATGAAATATATTTTGAAAACTAAATATATTTTATATATTTTCACAGACGCAGATGATTTTTTTTTCTCAAACTGAGGCATGTATTTACTTTAAACCACATAGTTTGTCTGAAAACAGTTCATCCTCTCTGCTCCAGTCCCTCTCACCCAAAAGAATTGTGATTCTTGGCAGAAATAGAGCTGATATTGCAGAAAAATCCAGGAGATTGTCCCAGAACAAACAGTAAATTAAGGAAGAGGATTGGTTAAGTAGCATTTTGATGGGCCAAGTGTATTCTTTTTCTCTGTATCCTTTAAAAGTATGTAGCATAGCTGATTTCTAAATGTTTTCATGAACTTTAATGTGAATTAAAGTGGCATTAGAAGGCCTTCTGTGATATGCAAACATAACATTTAGTATTTGTTTAAAATTGTTTTGATGTTTCAGGCTTGTTTTTGAGTTACTTTTTATTTTTGTTCAACTGTGAAGCTCTATGCCATCTTTACTTTCCAGATATAGTAAGGTCTTACCTTGGAGAAGAAAGGTCCTTGCTTTGAGAGACCCATTGTCTTTTTCCCCTGGACAAATAAGCAGGCATGTTAGATAGAAAGAAAATTGTTTGATTTATAAATCATGTGTTTTTACTCTTGTTTAGGCTTGGGAAAGCACGTGAGTGCTACAAATTAGTCTGTGAAATAAGTTTGGGTCCCACGTATTTTTAAGAGAAAACAGGTTGAATTTAAAAAAAAAAAATCCCTTCCTTCTATGCTTATATATAATCTTTTAAGTGAAATCAGCTTTACATTGAGATAAAACTGTTTGTTTCCTTTTTCAGCAAATTATTTTCCATCACCTGGCATTACTTTACATGAGCGTTTCTCAACAATGCAAGATATACGCAAGGCAGATATAAATGAAATTACATTGAATTCAGATCCAGAAATTCACAGGTAATGATTGATTACCATATTATACCCGTTTAACTCATAGGATAAACCTCAGAAAAGATTTGGGAAGGTGCTGCTTTCTGAATCTGCTCAGCTGGGCTTGCTGTAGACTCTAGGATTGCGTTTCCTGCACAAAAACAGGACTAACCGAAGCAGGTACTGGCCACTGCACTTTGGTGGAATGAGTAGGTTTCATTGAAAACATTGACTTGCGTTGTTTAAATGTGTAGGACTTTGAAAATGCTTACTTACCCAAACTTCGATTCTGCTGTCTATAGTAATTGCTTCTTGAGGTCCTCAGTAGAAGAATGAAAGACGGTTGTCAAGCCATTGTATTGCAGTTGCTTTTTGGCTGTTCTGAGGGCAGCCAGATGGAACCATGTGTCTTCTGCTAGCACTTGTTGGAGCAGGTGGTGCACCCTGTCTTGTGAGCTGAGTTGAATACATGTGAGAATGCAGTATATCACCAGAGCAAAGTTTGAGGTTGCACAGACTAGTGATTTGAGAACCACCAAAGCTTCCCTGTAATGTGGTTCACAGGATATGTATGTTCTGGGAGACTGCCATATAGGTGAAAAACTATCTGGTAGCAAGTTTCTTTTGCTTTCTCCAAAACATACTAACTTCATTTAAAATTCCATTCTTTAATAGTAGAATCAAGGTATCAGTGTATAACATAATCATTTAATTGTAAAATGCCTTTATTATTTTAGGAGGATAGATATGTCTTTGGCTGAGCTTCAGAGTAAACAAGCTGTGATATATGAATCGGAACAGGTTAGTGAATACAATTTTTGATGAGAAATTATCTTATTGTTGGTATACTAATGGCAAAGGGAATGGTGGTTGGGAGAGAAAAGGGAGTTAAACTACATGAAGAAAAAGGATTAAAATTAATTAATCTGAAATTAAAAAGCTCTTCAGGTGATTCTATCAATCAGGTTAGAGTGAGAATACTGACAAAAGACAAAAATATTCCCTAAGAGGGACAATCCCTAAGGATAACAGCTTGGTAAAATTGATACAAAATTACAGCATTTGATATTCATCCCCAAACCCCACACTGTAAAGCCTGTGGAAAGTATGTTAGATACCTATTTTTTTCAAAGCAATCATATGAAATATATTTTAAAATTGTATATGGAATGAATGCACAGGAACGAAATTTCTTTTGATATTGCCCTTCTGTTTACTGCAGAATGTATGAAACATTCTGTGGACTATGCACTAGCAAATTAAGGGAAATAAGGGACTCAATTTCTTTATTCATGTGTTGTGTGTGGTTCCCACCCAACACCTCCCCTCCTACCTCCCATTTCTTTGCTAATTAGACTGTCTTGACTAGCCAGGAGGGAAGAAAACTGGCTCTTGTTTTAGAAGAATTATATCAAGTTCTAAAAGAACTGCCAATTTATTCATTGAGAATAAAGAGTTTTTGTGGAGGAGATATTTTAATACATTTCTGATAGAATATATAAATATTTTTTTTACTTCTGAAATGATAATTTTATTGAATTTAGGGAGATAGATTAGTTTGTTGAAAAAATGACATTTTCAGATAATTTCTAATCATCAAAGTCCTATAATCAACTTATTAAAAAATCTGAGGATTTTTTTTAATCACCTGTAAGTCAGTCATTTAACATAAAATATTATTTGATCATCTTTTCTGGCTTATATCTTGCATTGTAACATAGTCACTATCATAGTATATGTAGTTTTGTATGCTTTTTTCTTTTTACTTGATCCATAATAACATTGCTTTATATAAAATCTTTGAATTTGCCTTGACCTTTTGTTATTAAGGCTTTTTAAGTTTTTTTTGAGACAGAGTCCTGGTCTCACCTAGGCTGGAGTGCAGTGGCACAATCGTGGCTCACTTCAGCCTCGACCTCCTGGGCTCAAGTGATCCTCCCACCTCAGCCTCCTGAGTAGCTAGGACTGCAGACATGCACCACCATGCCTGGCTAATTTGTATATTTTTTGTAGAGACGGGGTTTTTCCATGTTGCCCAGGCTGGTCTTGAACTCCTGACCTCAGGGATCCACCTGCCTTGGCCTTCCAAAGTGCCAGGATTACAGGCATGAGCCACTGCACCTGGTACTTTTTAAGTTTTTATTAACTTTTTTCTTTTCTTTTCTTTTTTTGAGACAGAGTCTCACTCTGTCACCCAGGCTGGAGTGAAGTGGTGCAATCTCAGCTCACTGCAACCTCCAACTGCCAAATTCAAGCTATTCTCCTGCCTCAGCTTCCCAAGTAGCTGAGATTACAGGCACCTGTCAACATGCCCAGCTAATTTTGTTTTTTTAGTAGAAATGGGGTTTCACCATGTTGGCCAGGCTGGTCTTGAACTCCTATTCAGATCTGCTAACCTCAGCCTCCCAAAGTGCTGGGATTAAGGCATGAGCTGCACCTGGCCTAATTAACGTTTTTCAATAAGCACTTTTCTATGTTGACTTCTACATAGTCTTTTTTTACCATAAGTTAAATGATTGTACATTATTCTTTTGATTTAAGTTTACCATGATTTATTTACTCATTCTTCCCTTCCTCTTAATTTTTTTTTACATTTAAGTTGCTTCTATTTTTGTTATTTTAAATACAATATTTTGAGTCTGTTTAGATAGATAACCTTTTCTTTTGGTTAGACTCTCAAAAGTGGGATTCTTGGTTCAATATTAGGAACTTTTCTGACTGTTTATTATCAATTGTGTCTCAAAATATTTGTATCAGTTTACAATACCATTAGCAGGATGAATACAAGACAACTTATCTAGGACTTAAGGTTCTTGTTAGATACGGTCTTTATGCAACTAACAGTAATGTCAATGGTTTGTCTTCTGTCAAAATTCCTCAGACTCTGGTCAAAATAATAGATCCAAATGACCTACGACATGACATTGAAAGAAGGCGAAAAGAACGGTTACAGAATGAAGATGAGCACATTTTTCACATAGCTAGTGCTGCAGAGAGGTAATCAGTAAATGAAAAACATCCTGTTATCAGGGAGCTTTGGGTTTTGCCATATTTTTAATTTTTTGTGTGATGATAATTTTCATTTTAATATAGGGATTTGCTCCTTCAGATCCATCTTATATGTTTAAGTGAAATCTATTAAAATGTTTCCGAGTTATTCAGTGATTATAATATGCGGTTTGATTTAAAGAACAAAAACTATGGGGTAGGTGAGTATTTGAGGTCTTCATAATTCTGAAGAGAAGTGTAACTACTTTTAGAATATTAGCAGGAGGCAGGACCAGCAAGTTTATGGACTATTTAGCTTGAGATGATTGAAACTCTGATACATTCTGCCCTGTAGATTTTGGGTTAGTCTTTGAATCGTAGAACATTTCCTGAAGTCAGTACAGTTATCTTTTAGGACTCTTTGTGGATGTCTATACTGGATAATTGTGGATAACTACTGACAGCAAGTGAAAAAAGTCCACATTTTATAGATGTCGTCCATGAAATTGAGGCAGGTATAATAGGAAATGCAGAGGAGACCTAGGTTTGAATCTCATCTCTCTGTTTGCAAGCTGACCAATCTTGGACAAATTTGCTTAGTCTCTGGAGCCTCTTCATCTGTAAAATGATGTTAAAATCAATTTATGCTGTGGGGCAGTTATTAATATTAAACGAGATGGCACATGGGAAGTACTTACGTCATATACGGCAAATAGATCCTCAGTAGATTTTTCTTTCTCAACCTCATACCTCTGTTTAGGGGCTCTTAGTAGTCTAGATCAACCCCAGTTTATCTCTAGTTCTGAACACCATGTGGATGGAACTCATGGCAACTCGGGGGCCCCATATGATCATGAGGTATAATTGAACAGGACAACATTTCCAGTTCACTTGAGTTCTTATACTATTTGGATCTCCCAAAAGGTGAGACTATATGACTATGAAGAGACAGTGCTAATTGTTTTTCTATAATCTTTGGTATCAAATTGCTAAGACTTTTAAGTTAATTCTGTGGCTAACTAGGTCAAAATACATGGACTTGATTCTGATCAAGTTCAGGTCTAACTAAAACATAGTGAAACAATGTGTTGAGGCATATAACACAATTGAAAATGCAAGAATAAAAATCTTCTCCCTTGCTGGGTGAAAGTCTCCAGTCTTCTAATATGATATGGTTAATGCATGGCATGACTCAGCTCCTTAATGACACAAGCTCTCTGTCATGCTTTCCTTGACTCAACAAGTGTAAGAAACCCAGAGTATCAAGAAACAGGATTTTAAAAACAGATTTAAGACAATCATCATATTTTAAAGATCATAACAGGCCTTAGGATGTATCTTTACCCCTTGATGTGATTATGAATTTGAGCATTGGAGTTGACCTGAGTTCAGTGTCTGGCTCCTAGATTCCTAGCTATGTGACTGACTTTGGGCAAGTTATTTTGTCTCTGTTTCTTCATCTGTAAAGTAGGGATAAGAGTTGTACTTACCTCACAGTGGTGCTTAAGATTAAGTAAAGTGATGACTGTAAGGGAGAGTAGCTGGTCAGTATTAAGTATTATTAATGCTAGCTTTGAGGACAGTGTGGTAATGTGCAAGGATGTGTTCCTATAAAGTGTCTTTTCCTGGGTCTGTCGGATTATTTTATTTGTATTGGATAGTTGGTGTGGCATAGTGGAGCTATGAGGAGGTTTTAAAAGTGAGACATTACTTAACATTCATCCTGCGAAAGTAAGCAATTCAGTAGATTTTAACATATTCATGAACTTATGCAACCATCACTACTGTCTAATTCCAAAACATTTCATCACCCCAAAAGTAAGCCCTCTACCCATTAGCTGCCACTCCCTGCCCCATTTCTCCTTCCCCTTTAGCCCCTGGCAACCACTGTTCTGTTTTCTGTACCTACAGATTTGTCTAATCTTGACATTTCATATATTCCTTTTTTATTTTTATTTTTTGAGACAGGGTCTCTCTCTGTCACCCAGGATGGAATACAGGGGTACAATTGCAGCTCACTGCAACCTCAACCTCCCATGAGGCTCAGGTGATTCTCCTACCTCGGCCTCCTGAGTATCTGGGACCACAGGTTCATGCCACCATGCCTGGCTAATTTTTCCTATTTTGTTGTAGAGACGGGGTTTCACCATGCTGCCCAGGCTGGTCTCAAACTCCTGTGCTCAAGCAACCCACCCACCTTGGCCTGCCAAAGTGCTGGGAGTACTGGTGTGAGCCACCACACCTGGCCTGACATTGACATTTCATATGAACACAATAATATAATATGTGGCCTCTCATAATTGACTTCTTTCCTATAGCATAATGTTTTTAATGCTCATCTATGTTGTAGCAGGAGAATTTTATTTATTTTTTAATATAAATATATATATTTTTAATTGCACCTTAGGTTCTGGGGTACATGTGCAGAACATGCAGGATTGTTGCATAGGTACATACATGGCAATGTGATTTGCTGCATCCATCCCCCCGTCACTTATATCTGGCATTTCTCCCCATGTTGTCCCTCCCCAGCTTCGCTATCCCCTACTGTCCCTCCCCTGTTTCCCCCAACAGACCTCAGTGTGTGATGCTCCCCTCCCTGTGTCCATGTGTTTTCATTGTTCAACACCCGTTTATGAATGAGAACATGCAATGTTTGATTTTCTGTTCTTGTGTCAATTTGCTGAGAATAATGGTTTCCAGGTTCATCCATGTCCCTACAAAGGACACAAACTCATTGTTTTTTATGGCTGCAAAGTATTCCACGGTGTATATGTGCCACATTTTCCTTGTCTAGTCTATTGTCGATGGGCATTTGGGTTGGTTCCGGGTCTTTGCTATTGTAAACAGTGCTGCAATGAACATACATGTGCATGTATCCTTATAATAGAACAATTTATAATCCTTTGGATATATACTCAGTAATGGGATTGCTGGGTCAAATGGAATTTCTATTTCTAGGTCCTTGAGGAATCGCCACACTGTCTTCCACAATGGTTGAACTAATTTACACTCCCACCAACAGTGTAAAAGTGTTCCTATCTTTCCACATCCTCTCCAGCATCTGTTGTCCCCAGATTTTTTAATGATCACCATTCTAACTGGCATGAGATGGTATCTCATTGTTTTGATTTGCATTTCTCTAATGACCAGTGATGATGAGCATTTTTTCATGTTTGTTGGCATCATATATGTCTTCTTTTGAAAAGTGTCTGTTCATGTCCTTCACCCACTTTTGAATGGGTTTTTTTTTTCTTGTAAATCTGTTTTAGTTCTTTGTAGATTCTAGATAGTAACCCTTTGTCAGATGGGTTGATTGCAAAAATTTTTTCCCATTCTGTTGGTTGCTGGTTCACTCTAATGACTGTTTCTTTTGCTGTACAGAAGCTCTGTAATTTGATTAGATCCCATTTGTCGATTTTGGCTTTTGTTGCTAACACTTTTGGTGTTTTAGTCATGAAGTCCTTGCCTATGCCTGTGTCCTGAATCATTTTGTCTAGGCTTTCTTCTAGGGTTTTTATGGTGTTAGGTCTTATGTTTAAGTCTTTAATCCATCTGGAGTTAATTTTAGTGTAAGGTGTCAGGAAGGTGTCCATTTCTGCTTTCTGCACATGGCAAGCCAGTTTTCCCAACACTATTTATTAAACAGGGAATCCTTTCCCCATTGCTTCTTTTTGTCAAGGTTTGTCAAAAATCAGATGGTTGTAGATGTGTGGCGTTGCCTCTGAGGCCTCTGTTCTGTTCCATTGGTCTATATCTCTGTTTTGGTACCAGTACCATGCTGTTTGATTACTGTAGCGTAGCCTTGTGGTATAGTTTGAAGTCAGGTAGCATGATGCCTCCACCTTTTTTTTTTCCCTTAGGATTTTTTTTAGCTTTGTGGGGTTTCTTTTGGTTCCATATGAGGTTTAAGGTGGGTTTTTTTCCAGTTCTGTGAAGAGGGTAATAAATAGGTAGCTTGATGGGGATACCGTTGAATCTATAAATTATTTTGGGCAGTATGGCCATTTTCACGGTACTGATTCTTCCTAACTTTGAGCATGGAATGTTTTTCCATCTGTTTGTGTCCTCTCTTATTTCCTTGAGCAGTGGTTTGTAGTTCTCCTTGAAGAGGTCCTTTACATCCTTTGTTAATTGTATTCCTAGGTATTTTATTCTCTTTGTAGCAATTGTGAATGGCAGTTCATTCTTGATTTGGCTCTCTTTAAGTCTGTTATTGGTACATAGGAATGCCTGTGATTTCTGCACATTGATTTTGTATCCTGAGACTTTGCTGAAGTTGCTTATCTTAAGGAGATTTTGGGCTGAGATGATAGGGTCTTCTAAATATACAATCATGTTGTCTGCAAATAGAGACAATTTGACTTCCTTTTTTCCTGATTGAGTACCCTTATTTATTTATTTATTTATTTATTTTTTGCACAGTTGCTCTGGCTAGGACTTCCAATACTATATTGAATAGGAGAGGTGAGAGAGGGCATCCTTGTCTAGTGCCAGATTTCAAAGGGAATGGTTCCAGTTTTTGCCCGTTCAGTATAATATTGGCTGTTGGTTTGTCGTAAATAGCTTTTGTTATTTTGAGATATGTTCCTTCAATACCTAGTTGATCGAGAGTTTTTAGCATAAAGGGCTGTTGAATTTTGTCAAAGGCCTTCTCTGCATCTATTGAGGTGATCATGTGGTTTTTGTCTTTGGTTCTGTTTATGTGGTGGATTACGTTTATAGACTTGTGTATGTTGAACCAGCCTTGCATCCCTGGGATGAAGTCTACTTGATCGTGATAGATAAGCTTTTTGATGTTCTGTTGGAATTGGTTTGCCAGTATTTTATTGAAGATTTTTGCATGGATGTTCATCATGGATATTGGCCTGAAGTTTTGTTTTTTTGTTGAGTCTCTGCCGGGTTTTGGTATCAGGATGATGTTGGTCTCATAAAATGATTTAGGAAGGATTCCCCCTTTTTGGATTGTTTGGAATAGTTTCAGAAGGAGTGGTTCTAGCTCCTCTTTG